ATATATACTTTTCAATTATTCTATTTCCATTCTTTTCTATTTCTCATGGTATTTTTTAAAACTTCCATTAAAATATACAATATAAATAATTCTTGCCTTATCCTTTATTGTGTTGGATGTATTTTTGCAATTTTCCATATAGCTTTTCTTTCTCATGATGATGCATCATTCTATTTATAGGTTACTTATATGTGCTTAAATAATTCAATAATGGCTATTGAATTTTTATCAAATTTTGCCATTTATCACAATAACATTAATTATTTTCTCCCATTAGTCTCTTAATATGATGGATTATATGACTTTATTCTACTCAGTCGAGATACCCTTGCATGGTGTGTGAAGAAAAAAAAAACACCTCATATAGTTGGAGAGTTATCATATTAATAATCTGTGGTTTTATTAATATTTTATTCACATTTTTACATTTATATTCATAAGTAAGAATTGTGTATGTACGTGTGTGTGTGTGTGTGTGTGTTCATTGCCAGTCCCACTATGAGAAAATGCAGGCTTGGTAAAATAAATTGGAGACTTAGAAAAATTTTTTTTCTATACTTTCAAACAGTTTGAATAATATAGAAATATTCTTCCTTGAAGTTTCAAATTAATACCATCTAGACCAAATTTATTTGGAGTCATTCTTGGATAACTTTATTTCTGGCCTTTTAAGGGATAGTTTTCATTGCTCATAATTTTTCTTTCCTATTATTAAATGTCCTTGTTCATTTCTACTGAAATTTGTATGGCAGAGTAATTAAGTTTAAAAAGTGGAATTTCATTGCTTTCTTGTACCAGAATTCTATGCGCCTAGTGTCTGGGGAGAAAAATATTGAACCCACTCTCCCGCTTGTGTGTGTTCTTTGAAGGATTGCTCCAGTCTGTGCTGTGAGGCCCTGACCTGCAAACTGAAGCCTGCCGCTGACTGCGGAGACATCCCCAACCATATCACGTAAGACCTTTTGTTTCCTTTGTTCTAAACTATTCTCTCAGTTTTATTTCAGAATTGAGAAAGATGTGCCCTTAAGTTCTGTAATATACTAAAAACAATTTATGTTTTGTAAATAACTCATTTTTGGAGAGGAAAAGAAAACGACGATTGTGAACATAACTAAGGGTGTATGGACATACCCTCGTGAGAAAAGTGGCGACTTTGACATCTGTGAGATTAGGGCTGCCGAAATCTGTGCCAAAAATTGTACAAATTCCTGTTACTAGTGATGAGTTTAATGCAAACTAAAATGAGAAAAAGAACAGTATATCTAAAAATAGCCTCAGTAATGAACACATTTTATCCTTGGTTAAGAGCTAATAATTGTAACTTGCAAGGTAGTCAGAAAATCAATAGCATTTAAGAACATGCTATAAGATTTGGCAATTTTATTCCTTTTATTATAAGTTGTCTCAATGAGTCATAATGTAAGTATTGTTTTTGTGTCTTATACAATCCTATTTATATAGAATTGGGCTAGAAAACCCAGCTGCTTAGAATATGGTATTTGTTTCAGTAAAAAATATTCTCTGAATATAAAAATGGCAATAACAACAACAAAAATCACAAATAAGGGAAAGATTCAGATTATGTTGGATGGGAGGAGTTATTCTCTACCCCTCTCCGCTTTTCTGAATCTTTTCTGGAATTGAAACTACAGAGA